AGGTTGTACTGCTGAGGCATTGGTAGTAGATGCTATGAGCGCTCGGTGGGCAGCATCACACTGCGCCTGGCCCTTCAATGGCCATCTCATCTATTTAGCTTCCTGACTAGTATTTAATATTTATGTGACATATGTCTGTCAAATAATTAGAACGTACCTCTTGATGCGGTCTGCTCAGCATTCTGTTGACATCTGCGCTCTCCTTCTCTTATGATGACTTTCTCCGACAAGCCGCCCCCCCGTCGCCTGTTGACCCTTTATTACCCCTCGGACAATGGGGAAAAACGACATTGTGCGGAGAGGGAAACATATTAGCAATGAATTCCAACGGTCCATATCTTTCAAGACTTCCTTGAGATATCGTACGAGCTTTGGAATAACCCATCATCGCTCGAGGCAATACCTTATCTCACGATGATTTCTTCACATTCTTGAACGTCTAGAGTAGTCCTATGATCTACAGCTCCCAGCTTTCGCGCTCGATTCGCTTGTTAGCTTGGCCGTTGCTTCCGCGAGAACACTTGCGGTTTGACAGTGTAAACCCAGAAGACACGCCAAGATGGCGTTCGAAAGCCTATCTGACGTGTGTCGCAGGGACCTTCTGCAGAACAACGGCTTCGTGAATGGCCAATAGGTCTCGGGGATCGATGAGAAGACTTTCGATGTTGTCAACCCAGCAACGTTGGAGACTTCAGCAACACTGCCCGAGATGGACGCCGAAGATACCCAGAATGCAATCCAGGCAGCACACGGATGTTTCAGATCTTCCAAACGAACTTTGGCGAGAGAGAGAGCAAGGTGGCTGCGACGGTGAAAACAGCCATGCCTCGACCACATTGATACTTAGCCTTGATCTTGACGCTGTAACACGGCAAGAATCTCGCTGAGGCTAGAGCGGAGACGGCCCACGGAGCCTCATTCCTTGAGTGGTTTGCCGGCGAGGCGGAGCGAACATACGGCCAAGTCGTCCCCGCAGCCAACACCGGACAACGCATCCTGACCATCCAGCAGCCCCTAGGCGTCGCTGCCCTGCTTGCACCGTGGAATTCCCCATAGCCATGACTACTCGCAAGGCCGGGGCGGCTCTAGCTGCCGGTTGTACGACTGTCTGGAACCTACAGACGAGAAACTGCTGAGCTGCATTGCCCAGGCGGTGTTGGCTCAGGAGGCTGGATTTTCCCAGGTTTCCCTCAATATTGTCTTGACTTGGACAGGGTTGCTGATGTCGGGGAGGCATTTTTCAAAAGCCCGCAGGTCCAAGAGATCAGCTTCACCGGGAGCACCCGCATTGGGAAGCTCCTTGCTGAGCAGTGTGATCAAAAGCTCAAGAAGCTCTCTCTCGAACTTGGTGGTAATAGGCCGTTCGTCGTATTTGATGACGCAAACCTTGATCACACGGTGGAGGTTCCAATGCTCGCGAAATTTCGCAATTCGGGGCAGACCTGTGTGTCGGCCAACCGGGTATTTGTTCAGAAGGGCATCTATGATAAGTTCTCTTCGAAGGTGAAAGAGAGGATGCAACGACTCAAAGTCGGCCCTGGGATTCAAGCAGGCGTCAAGGTTGGGCCATTGACGCATCAAGGCGGGACTCCGAAGGCCTTGGCGCACGTCCAAGGTTTGGGCCGCAAAATGTCTCGGCGGCGAAGTCATTCTAGGAGGTTCTTTGCTATGAGATGGATGGTTATCTTTTTACAAGCTACCTTGATAACCAACATGAAGCAGGAAATGTTCACGACTCATGAGGAAGTGTTCGCTCCCGTCCTAGGACTATATCAGTTCGAGAACGAAAGCGAGGCGATTACACTGGCAAACAGCTGAAATGTCGGCTTCGGAAGCTTTGTTATAACTGAGAGCATTCTCGTAGTTGGCGTGTCACAGAAGCGCTGAATACGAGCATGGTCGGCATCAACGTTGGTAGTCTGAGTGCCTGCGAAAGTCCCTTTGGAGGTGTCGAGGAAAGCAGGTACGGGCGAGAGGGTGGTGCGGTTGGGATCAGCGAGTATATGGCGGTGAAGTCCATTTTAGTCGGTATCTCCTATGTGGCATGTGTTCTCCAAGATCAAGGATGGGAGAGCACAGCTTCTCATCTCACGCGGGGGGCGGCGAATATACTATTAATCTAACGATGTGTCTTTCGGCCTGAGATTGTTGGAGGATCAGAGTAGCCAACAAGAACAAACAATTACAAATCATTATTGCAATTAGTGCTCTGGCGAGTCGATGTCACGGAGTGTTGGGATGCAAAGTCTCTCATGGACTCATTATGTATTCTTGTTGAATTATGCTGCTCTAGTCACCATACTCAGCTACTCATATTATTCATCATTCCATTTGCTTAGAAGTGTGAGCCACCACCGCAAGGCCCGTCGTGAGAGTGGCCGGTCAGCTCCGCAGCACGCTTGAGGTGGCGAGCAACGTCGGCGGCGTATCTGCGCTTCTTTTGGCTGACAGGGGGAATGGTCTCCCAGCTCATCGCGTACTTGGCAACGCTGTGTGCAATGGCCTGAGTGTTGACAAGGTAGGCATCGTTGTCCAGGTTCGTGATGTCATCGCCAATCAGGTGGTAGTTGACATCGTAAGCGACACCAACCTCTCCACCGAAGAGCTTGGCCTCCTCCTCAGTCTTAAGTCCCTCAGCGCCAGTGAACAGACCACCTACAATGCATCATCAGTATACATACGCCAACCTCGGATTTTCAGTTTGGGTAAACTCACCACTGGGAATACCATTCTCGATGAACGCGGCATAGTCCGAGCGACCGTTGAACTCAGTGGGCACGTGTCCCAGGCCCTTGCTCTCAAAGAACTCCTCGTAGTCCTTCTCAATGACATCAGAACCAGCGGGCCCGGAGAAGTTGAAGGCGCTTCCGTCTCCGTCGTAGATGGCGAGCTTGGGGTTTGGGGAGGCAATCATGTCGAAGTTGAGGTAGGCGCGGATCTTGGAAACCTCCTCCTCGGAGCCATTGAGCTGCTTGACGTAGAAGTAAGAACCGAGCTTGCCGTACTCCTCGGCGCCCCAGAAGCCGAGGCGGACGGCGTTCTTGACTTCGAAGTTGGTCAGGGCCTTGGCAACGGTGAGGACACCAACGGTACCGGAGCCGTCGTCACTGGAGAAAGAATGGTTAGCCACGAAACATGAGTTGAGTTCTTGAAAGAGGAGGGTAGTGGACAGTGATATTCGCAAGCAATAAACATCATCGACAAGAATGCTGACAACATTGACGGCAGGTATAACCAAGAACGACGAGGACGACCAAGACGATGGTGAAGATGGCGTCCACGCACAATCGAGGGTGATAAAGAAAATATAGGGAGCATGGAAGGACTTACTTGATACCAGGTCCAGCAAAGACGGAGTCAGAGTGGCCGCCGATCATGAGGACGTTGTCGTGATCTCCGCCGCGCGTCTCAGCAATGACGTTGTAGTTGACACGATCCTCAATGATGGAAATGACGTTGAGGTCAAGAATAATCTCTTCGCCAGCCGCGAGCTTCTCAACGAAAGCGAGGCCCTCGGCCTGGGTGATGCCAACGGCCGGCGCGTAAGCATCCGACTGCTCGCCCAAAGTTCCCGACAGAGCGCCCTCGGCGTTGTTGTAGACGATGGCGGCCACAGCACCAGCGGTCTTGGCCAAGGTGGCCTTGACGGCAAAGTTGCAGGTTCCTCTCGAGATGAGGGCGACGGCACCAGAGACCTCAGCGGGGTAGTCGGCCTCCTCGCAGCCAAGATTCGGGACGTTGACCAGAGCGGCGCCGGTGACGTCTCCAGCAGGCGTGAAGGTCATAGGTCGCGCATCGACGGCGGCGCCTGCCACGGTCAGAGTCGCCTTGGAGCCGGCGAAAGCCTCAGTGAAGGGCTGCTTGTAGACGTCGAAGTAATCGAGCTTCTCGAGCTCCTCGACGAGCCAGTCGACGGTGGCATTGTGGCCACCACCGCCAAAGGCGCGGTTGCCCTCGTGGGCGTCGGCGATGTCCTGGAGCTTCTGGGAGCCGGCGAGGAGATCCTCGATGGTGATCAGCTCCTGGAGGGATTCGGAGTCGACGTAGGGCTTGCACTTGGCGGCGCTGGCCAGGGCCGGCAGTGCGAGAGTGAGGGCGGCCGTTCTCATGTTGGGCAGTTGGTGAATGGTCGGTGAGGAAAACCTGGCGAAGGGTGAGAGGAGCGGGAGGGCTCTGGTTTTGTATTTGTCGTCGACTTGCCTTCTACCAGGGTACCTTAGGCACGCACCTCACCTTTGCGGTTGACAGAGAATTCTGGCCAATCCGACATCTTCAATGACTGCACAGGGACGCGAAAAAGCGCCCATTTTCGAATTGTGCAAAGCAAGTGGTGCGAGGAGCGTTGCCCCTCAACTGGGTCGCACATGCATGCAGAACCATCTCGCGTGATCGCGCCAAGGCAATAGATAAGGAAGCTGATGATGCTGGCACTTTTGCGGTGGTGTGGCTTTCAACGGTAAGCTGGATCCACGAACCAATGACGCGGGAAGTCAAAATTAATCCCGGCGGGAGTCTGGAGTCCCAGGTTCAAGGTTGACAGGATCGATTGACTCAATTCATTGCCACGAGCCTCTGGGCAGCGCCGCTATCCCGGGACGAGAGGCTCAATAAGGAAGCTTAGAAAGATCAGAGAGGCTGGCTTCATCAGCGTCGTATCGCGACCTGCCTGATCCAGGAACGTTCTCATGTGCCAAGACTTGGCGATCTTGGCAATACGACTCAACGGTGGGCACGTCTATGATAGGTCAATCGCTTTCTTTTTGTGCTTCGATTTAAGTCATGAACTGTCGCCACAATACTCGCGGCATTTTGGCATCGTTGCCAATCGATGATGATCTCTTCTTTCACTCTGGAGTTGTACATATATGAATCACAAGAGGTCAATAGAAATACATTAGGGTGACTGGGATCAGAATCAGGATCTCCACAACAGCTGGAATTGAAGAGACGATAAAACTTTGTGTTTTCGAAACACATGAGATGGTGAGCTGGTAAACTGTTTACTTCGGATACTCATTGGTGCTGAATAGATCAATCCAATGTGAGATGGCTTCACTACGGAAATCATCCGTCTCAGAACGACTCAACTCGGTAGCATTTACGTCGAAGACAAAGTTTTCGGGGCTGTTGGCATTGTACTTGGGCCAAACATTGGTACCGTTCACTGCGTCAGTAATAAGCAGTTGAACCCTTTCTGGCTTGTCGGAGTAGGGTTGGCTCACCTGGATGGTAATATGGATCGAAAGTGTGGAAAAAGCTTATCCACATGCTGCACATTAGGTAACTCAACGGCTCAAAAGTGTACTTCTGATCGGCTTGGTCGCTGGGGCTGAGAGCTTCGGATAGCATCACGTTGTGGAAAAGGAAGGCGATGTCGTCTTGTTCCTGAGAGCCGGCCTGCCACCAGTGTGCATGGAATAAGACGTCGTAGACGTATGAGTAGACGTCGACATCATTCCCGGCCCACTACAAGTGACATCGTCAGTAAAAAGAAACCCTTGGGTTCAGGGCACAGGAATATTCAGCACATACCACTTGACTTGCCAGCCGTCGTCCAGCCTGCATAATCATATCTCCAGTATAAGCACTCGTACGCTTCCACTGGTACCCAAGCCCAGTCTCGTTCCCCGGCCTTCCTTTCAGCGTAGCCGGGATACCTTGATGCGGTTCATCAGGATACAGCCGGGAAATCTCGTTGGCAGCGTCCTTACTCAACCCGTCATCCCTGACCATGTTCAGGAACTCATCCGTCGTGTTGATGTTCTTCACAACGTAGTGCTGCCAAGTGCCTTCATCGCGAGTCGTTCCGAGTATCAACGGCATTCGCACAAAATGTCCAGCCTGCATCTCCCTGGACCCGAGGTCTTGAATGAAGTCGCCATCAACAACGGGGTTCGGGTGGTCGTCCGTAGTGATGTCGCTGTCGAAGACGCTCGAGAGAACGTCGGCATTAACACTGCGCAGGCAGTCGAGGGTGTTCGTCGAAGCGGAGCAATTGGTCGCGTTGACGAATTGGTCATACAGAGGCTGCCAGTCGTCGGCGGTAACGGACGGCCACATCAGAGTCGGACTACCGCTCTGCAGGATGGCGCCCTGGAACAGGCCGTCATCCCGGCCACCATACGCGAGAAGCTGGAGCCCAGCGCTGAAGGCACCAGCCTCCTGGCCCCAGATGGTGATTCTTTCAGGGTCACCGCCAAAGGCTTCAATGTTCTCTTTCAGGAACCGGAGAGCAAGACGCTGATCCTTCAAACCCAGATTCGCAACGCCCTCGTTAGCAACCTCGTTTCCTTACAGGAAACCCCAGTAGCTAAGACGGTAGTTGAGCGTGACCCCGATGAACTCCTGGCCGTTCTGCACACCGACCTGGAGGAGAGAGGTCATGTTGTACCGTGGATCTCTCCCGGTTCCATGCTCGAAGAGACCGCCGTGGATATAGACTGCGACCGGCAGCAGGCCCTTGGATGAGGAGACGTTGGAGGGGCGGTACATGTTGAGAGTCAGGCAGTCTTCGGAGATAAACTGGCCTAGGACCATCTGGGTGGCCCCGTATCCGAAGCACATGGATCCAAGAACTGTGGCATTTTTCTGACCGGTCCAAGACGTGTTCAGTAATTGAGGCTCGCGGAAACGCCGGCTTCCGGTGGGTGGCTGCGCGTAGGGGATGCCCTCGAAGAAGTCCTGATGCCAGTTCGGATGGTGAACTATTCGCGTCTGTCAGTTGCGTCTCACCACGAATAGGCTTCACCCACAGTGTAATAAACCTTGAGTGAGGCTTTTGAGGGGAACAATCACTTACCTCCGTAGTATGTCCCGTTTGACGTCGGAGCCGTAGGCACGGTGGTGTTGGTGCTGTTTTGGAACTGAGAAGAGACGGTGATGGCGAAAAGGCCTATACAAAAAGTGAGGAAAGAGCGCATAGTGAAGGTTGCTTTTGAGTCGGTCAGCGGTCCCTCTGAGCAAAGTAATCTAGCAGTCAGTTCTCAAAGAAGTCATGAGCACGCCAACCACATATATGTTACCGAAGTTGATCCCCTGCGCGCTTAATCATCACTCCGGGCAAGGTTACCTAAAAGGTATTGACAGATGACGACGCCATTGACTAGCAGCAGGCGCTCTGGACTATGTTGCCTCTCTGGCCATGGGCCATCAACAATCATTTGCACCTAGATAGGGGCTTTTTGGGCGGTTCTGCATCGGTTGCACTGGACCATTTGAGGCTTGGCCACCTACTGACGCAAAATGAACGCGCAATTTTCGATGTGAGCCATGGGACGAGAACGACATGCATTCAATGAAGGGAATGATGATGCGAGGACGCCAGCTTGTTCAGTTGACATGAACGCAAATAACCCCACTCACCTTATTTGAAGTCTTGCTCAAAGCAGACTAAGATACCCTGGTCTGCGGAGGCGTAGTGGCTGCGACTGGTCTGAATGCGATGTCATGTCCATCAAAACGCGTATTCAGCTAGTTGTCGAGGACGTTGTCGCGGGGAGTTAGGATCACCGGAGGCAAGTCGTTATCAGCGACTGCGTCTACAGTGCACTATTGGGGTAAATCTGCTAACTGCTGGATTTAGGGGTTTTGCAGACGAAAATAAGGCGAACTTAGCCCTATACCTTATTTATATTAATTAATATAAGTTAAAGCTAACTTAACTTTAACTTTATAATTACGCGTAATTATAAGTAATTAATTATAATCATACTTAAAGCTATTCTTATCTTAAAGAAGTAATTATAAGCTTATAACTTTATTTTAATATATTTTGATTATTTCTATTTTTATGCTACTTTTTTATTTTATCTTATAATCTATTATACTTAATACTTTGAACATACTTATTTTAATAATAAATTATTAATAAATACTCTTTATAGAATAGAATTAGATAACTATTTAGTTTAGTTAGTATTATTTTCTACTAATAAAACTAATAAATCTTTAGAACTCGTAGTTATAAAAGTTATTATTTAAAACCTAAAGATAGTATAATATATTATGATAATTATGTTAGTTCTAACTTATTATATTTTAATTAGAAGTATTAATTTATATCTAAAACCTAAATATATTAACTTATATATTAAAACTAAATATATATCATCTATCTTCTTTTAACTAGCTTATATCTAAAAACTTAGTATTATTTATTAAGTTATAATTATTTTATAAAAGTCTTTAAACTTATTTATTTTATATTTACTAATTATAATAAAGTTCGATTTAAGATATTATTGATTTCTAGCTTATTGTTTAAGATTAAGTTAATAGATTTATTCTATTAAATTAATTTTTTACTTTTTAGATAAATCCTTTATTTTACTTTAGTTACAATAAAGTATTACTTCTAAAGTAGATTATATCTTTAAAGATACTTTATATATAACGTGGTTCATCAGTCAGCCGGCTGGACCAGTCAGCCGGACGTTTTTTCCCACGTACACAACAACATCTAGTATTTCTCAACCACAACGCATTAAATCAACTATTAGTTGTCGCTATCAGAATCTCCTGAGGGTTCGACATCTTTGGAACAGGTTTGCGCGTTATGCCCAGTCTCACCACACATACCACAGCGTCTCCGAGCTGGCTGGGCTCTCTTTGATGGACCCCCCTCGTCGTCCTCTTGAGGTGCTGGACGTTTCCCTTTTTGTTTCCCTTCAAGCAAAACCTGAGATTCCTCTATACTAAGTGCCCCTCTAAGCTGGACCTGCGTTCTTTTAGCCCTCTAGCGCTTAGCAAGTGCTATATTTGCATCCTCAAGGGTATGAAGCTGATCAGTCAAAATAGTGATTAAGTATGCTATTGCCTGCGCACCCTTTGACAATTACTTAACTGCAGCAATAATTAGTGTTGGTGAGCTTCCTTAATAAGCAGAGATATAACTTTTGATAAAGCTAGACTGCGAGACGGTTTGTTGTAGGTTAGAGGGCGTTTGCAACTGCTAAGGTGGAGGTGTTAAAGAGTTAGCTATAGGAGGTGTAGGCGTCTGTAAATATATATCAAGCTTTTTGATGATATGGTCTGGGTCCTATAGTGAAATTCCAGCGCCTTAGAAAGCAGACCTGATGTTTTCCTCATTAAAAACCTTATTATAGGCCTAGTGGAAGGCAATAAAGAACTCAGACTTAGTGATATGATTTATAGAGGCTCTGATGAATTAGTTGATTTCATCACTATATGCGCGTTTTAAAGGCGAATAAAGGGTAATATCTAATAGCTGTAGTAGATGCAATAAATATGCAGGCATACTGATGGTTATAATATTGTTCTGCTTATAGTAATTATCAAACTCAGCTGATAAATAGCTCTTGTGGCTGTTGATAATAAGCATCTAGTAGACGCCCTTCATTTGGTTCTTAGTGTGTTTATCAAAGTGTTTAATCTAGTTAAGACTTATCTAATTATCCGTCCATCTATTAGCAGTAGGTTTGATCACCTAGTTGCCTGGAAAACCTAATTCTGTGGTCCAACTGGCAAGGTGATATTCGCCCTTGACGATCACAAACGGAGGGATGCACCACCCGCCCGAATTAACATATTTAATAACTGTAGCCTATTCACAATTGCCAGGCTGGACAGACTTTGCTTTGCTGCGTCGATCGGCGTGTGTAACCACTATTAACGCAGTGATTATGCCTATTATGAAGCCAGTTTCATCAAAATTATATAGGTCCCCCTCTTGGATGCCATACTTAGTGTTACGGTCAGCTATCCGACAGTAGGGTCTGCTAACAGAAGCTGGGGATTGATACGTTCTAACAGTACACTGGGTCGTGGTCGTAGGTCGTAGTTCGTAGGCTGTAGTAGATCGGGTCTTCAGAGGCTAAGGTGATCAGTCTTAGACTCAATAAGTGATTCGCAGTGAAGGTAAGCTGAGAGTATCTGTGAGGATGAATACTAAGTTGATTGCTGAAGAGCTATAGAAGTCTGACCATAAGCCGGGCTCAAGGTCATACTATATACAAGTTCTAAACAGTGCCCTTGTCTCTTGTTACCGTTCCTAGTCCTGACGGGTTCTATTCACGCTAAGTACGGTTTCCATATTCTTGGCGTATGGATCTAATCTCTTATCTTATCGTCACGTGACTTATACTATAGTTCTTCTGTTTCCGAGTGAGTCCCTGTTGTTCCTATGATCCTGCAGTACAAATATCCTGTCCTAGCCGCCTGACGCCTGAGTGGGTCGTTCAGCTGTTATCCTTGTTTATAGGTCGTAACATCAGGTCCCCTCTCCAAAGGTCTTATCCTCAAGGCCTAACATAAGTAGGTCGTTAGTCCCAGGTTGGGGATCTGTCAATTATGCTTCCTGATTTACTCATGATGCTGACACTATATCAGGTCGCGTTCAAAAATCTAAGTTAGCGCTTCGTTCTGCTTGTGAAGACGTTTTCTATCGCTTTAGTTCTAACGACGTCATGCTTTACACTTAATGTTTTCGTGCGAAGCGTATATGTTGCATAGCGGAGGGCGCTAAAACTTATTAAGGTTGTAAGAACCTAAAGTGTCCTTATGACGGCCTGGTGGTCGTATCAAGTTGTGAGTTTTTGTTATGTCTTGCTAGGTGCGTCTGTGCTGATTAGTCGTAGTGAAGAGGCTAAGCGATTAGCGTTAAGAATAGGAGGAGAAGGAGGAGCAGGCTAGTGATGCCTTGCTGGACCTTCATGAAAAGTTAGCATAGGTTCAGGCTGAGGTGGCTGAAGCAGCTGGTCGGTTATTACGTATTCGTGCGATTCGTAAGAAGGTTAAGGAGCGTTATATAGAGACATTTTCTCAGGGTATGCAGGAGTTAGAGGAAGACGACGTTCTTCCTGCCTTAGATGCATATGAGAGTGGCGTGGTGGGCGATCTTTAATTCCTTAGTGTTGAGAATGATCCAGATTAGCAGAGTTTTGGTGTTGGTGAGGAGTTTGCAGATCTTGGTCCCTTGGTCGGTAGTGATCGGTTGGTGTCCTCAGGGGGTTCTTAGTTGTACTCTGGTGTTCCTAGGCGAATGAATGGTTTCCCTTGTTGCGGTCGATCTGCTTCAGTGGGAGGTCTGGTGAAGCGATATAGGTGTCTGATTTGTTTATATCTAATGTTCTTCTAGGCTAATATAACAGGTGTTAGTGTGGCTTCTCGTTCTTAGTGTTGTTGCCAGTAGATCGTGAGTTCTTCTGCTGCGTTAGTGATATTTTTAGCTGGTTCCTATATGTTATCTTTATGTCTGTATCCTTTCTATTTAACGAGGTATTAATACCCTTCTGGTTCTTTGAGATGGTTGATAATTTGTTCCACTTTATACTCTGGTTTGTTATCTTCGACGATAATAATATCGTTTGTCTGTGATCCACGTAGTGCTGGTTTGAGGAGTGAGACATGGAATACTGGGTGACACTTTATGGTTTCTAGGAGTCCTAGTTTGTAGTTGACTGGTGAAATTACTCGTGAAATTTTGAAAGGTCTGAGTTTTTTATAGTTGAGTTTGTCGTTTGGTCGCTTTGTCTTGATGTTTCGCTATATGAGATAGGCGCTATCTCCCTCTTTTAAGGTTGGTCCCTCAATCCTTTGTTTGTTGCTGAATTTTATTATTCTTTGTCGTACGAATTTGAGTTCTTTGCGTGCGTTTTCTTGGATATCCTTGATTTGGCGTATTAAGGCGACAGCTTTTATTGCAGCTGGGCCTGTTTAGGGTTCTCTATAGGCGGTTGGTTTGAATCTATAGTTGAGGTAGAAGGGGGATTCCTTAGTACTTTCTCCTACTGCGCTGTTATAGGCGAACTGTGCTATTAGTAGCAACACAACCTAATTGTCTTAGTTGTAGTTAACGTAAGCGCAGAGATATATTTTGAGGATTTAGTTGATTCGTTCTGTTTGTCTGTCGGTTTGCAGGTGGAATGCAGTGGATATTAATTGTTTGATGCTGAGTTGTGAT